ACACCTTATCTGGCTTGGAGAGTTGCCTGGCCGATATCTGCAAAACTTGGCAAAGAGTCTCAGAGAGTCACAAACCAATTAAGCGAACTGATTGTCTCCTGCAAACTCCACTCCCTTTCCGCTCCTCTTTTATTTCCTCTGGGAGGGGCCACTCATCATTCACCTGTGGCTTTATTCCCAAGTCAACCCCTGTTCTTTAGCTGTTCCCTTTGTCTGGCAACTCTGAGCATGCGCACACTGGGAACAGGCTCCAGCTGTTCCTCTGCCTCACTGATGTCTGACTCTGAAGGCAGCTGATAACTGGCATATGGCCCTGGCCCCCTCTCTGCCTCCGACACAGAGCCCTCATCAGAGCCTTCCCCAGACTCCAGGACTGGCCCATCTTCCTCCCCAACCTCCTCACTGTCCGAATCTGCTGCCAGCTCTACTGGTGGGCCACAACACACTTTGTTGCACTGTTCATTTGGAAATCTAATGAAGCGAAGCCCCACCCTGTGCTTTTGATACAGCAAATGGGTTTATTTTTTTAATCCAGTCTTTCCCTAATCCAGATGTTCAGGCTGGAGGGCACAAGCCCATATAACATCTGGAAGGTATAACAGGATGCCAGGAATCCTGCTTGCAGAGCCTTCCCCCTGCAGTTGCTCCAAGAGAAATGGATCATGTAACATGCTAATCTTGATTTATCGCCGATCAAATCCTGATTGATTCTATCCGGATTATCCAGCCAAGCTTTGCCAAAAAAAAAAAAAATCCAGAAAAGAGGAACAGGGAAGAAAGAGGACCGCCCTTCTCTCGCCGGCCCCGCCCCTTATGCTAATCAGCGCTGAATCACGCTCATCAGGGGAGATGGGGAAAAAAAATCCCCAAATGCGTCCAAGCCCTAGATCCGATGAGCCTTGACAGCGGGGGGCGAAACCAAACCACTTCGCAGCGAAGGGGAGCCGAGAAAACCAAGGAGCGCTCCCTCCGACACTCCGCCCGCCACTTCATCGCTGGCGCGGCGACATCCCAATCTTCCTTTACATGATAGATAAGTGTAGAGAAACCGCCACCTGAGCTTTCAAGAGCGGCTGTCCCCGTTTTCCAAAGATGTCTTCTTTCCGTCGCCCCCCCCCATCGTCTCATTTTGGTACATCCCACGTTGTGGGGGTGGGGGGGGAGAAAGAAAGCCAGCCGAGAAGCGGAAGAGAAGGAAAAGCCGTATGAGGAGGAGGAGGAGGAGGGGGCGGAGCCAGCGGCGAGCCACGTGACGCAGGGCCCCCGCCGCCATTTTGTTCTGCGGCGCCTGGGTATTTAGAGGCAGCGGCGGGCGCAGCGGAGAACCGTCCGCGCAGGAACGCCGTTGTGTCGACACCGCCGCCCAAGGCCGCTGACGCCGCCCCGCCATCTTGCCTCCTTCCCCCGGCGGCGCAGCGAGGGCCGGAAGAAGAGCCGGAGTAGAAGCGTCAGCCCGACCCCGCCGCCTCAGCAGTAGCAGCAACAGCAACCACCGTCCTCTTCCTCGCCCCCCTCACCCGGCTCCGCCATGGTCGCTGCTCCGGCCGGACCCGAGTACTCCCCCTTCTTCGCCGTCATGGGCGCCTCAGCCGCCATGATCTTCAGCGGTGAGGCACCCCGGGGGGGAAGGGAGGGAAGGAAGCCGGTTTGGGGGGGGGTGTTGCCATGGGGGTCGTCGCCCTCCTCCTGTCCATCTTCATCTCCATGCCTTGCCCTCGTACGACCCCGCTAGGGTCGGGTGGGTGGTATGGAGGGGGGGCGCCTCCAGCTCTTTGAATTGGGGAGGGTCTCCAAAAGGGTTTATATGGGGGGGGGGCGCTTCCAGCCCTGAATTGGGAAGGGGTCTCCAAAGGGCTCTCTATGCGTGATGAGGAGGGGCCTCTTCCAGCTCTTTGAATTGGGGAGGGTCTCCAAAAGGGTTTATATTGGGAGGAGCGCTTCCAGCTCTGAATTGGGGAGGGGTCTCCAAAGGGCTCTCTGAGTGTTGGGGGGCGCTTCCAGCTCTTTGAATTGGGGAGGGTCTCCAAAAGGGTTTATATTGGGAGGAGCGCTTCCAGCTCTGAATTGGGGAGGGGTCTCCAAAAGGGTTTATATTGGGAG